GGGTTGCTGGGTTCTGCGCATGGAGGGGTGGGTTGCAGGTGGGGTTACAAGGACAGAGAAGGAAGGGGTGGATTTGGTGCGACTGGGGGAGAAGGGATGGGTAGGGATCTTTTATTATTATTTTTTTCCAATTTTATGTTTGTATTTTAATTTTTTTAAGTAATTAAAAAACCTAAGTGCACAAAATTACTAAAATACTCTTGCCACGTCATCAAACTTAATGGACTTCTGGATGGAGTTAACGGTATGGGCAATGTGGAACATCAAACCTTGATCAAGGGGGCAAAGTGAGTCACTTTAACTTTGAGGAGGTAAAATGAGAATTGACCAATATTTTAAGGTGCAGCAATTAAGCCAAATATAAATCGCCTCTTCCATTGAAGTCGGAGGGTCGTGGACAAACGTTCGAAGAGGTCAAAATCTTGGCGACGAGGTAAAAAAAAATTAATTGCCATTTTATTTAATTTAATGTCTTTATATATATATATACATATATATATATATATATGGTAGATCCGTGACACTATGTTTTTTACATAAGTTTTGACAAAAAATTTCAACCATTAGATTAGAATGGATTGAATGGTTGAGATTATGTTTCATTAATTACTTAAATTAAATTAAATCTCTAATGCCAAGTAAATTTCATTTTATTGATTTATTATGATAATCCCGAAAATCACTCAATTATCTTTCCCCCCCATTGTTTTCTTATCACGATCTTCTCAATTAATAACCTGTGAAACCTCACCATTACCTTCACCTTGCCATTGTCATCTACACAACCGAGCATTCTTCCACGACATAGAAAATCTGTCTCAAGCTACCAATATTGAAGAGAAAATAAGATATTAATATTTAACCAAAAAAGATAAAGCCCAGATTTGTTGCAATATTTCTTCTCTACCGTTTGGTTGATCTAACTCTGTGTTTCTCTCTCTCTCTCTCTCTGTTTTTTTCTCTAACATCTTAATGGCTTACAAGCTTTTATTCATTATGATTAATAATAACATTAAAAAATATATGGCAAAAGACAGTTTGCTGTGCAGTTCATTGTGTGTGTGTGTGGATGGGGTTTTATCCCCAAGCCTTTACTTCGAGAGTCATAATCTATGTATAACTGTCCCAAAAATTAAGCAGTAAAAAAAAAAGCAAAAAACAAAGTTAGGGATAGAGATGAAAAATAATCAGAAACCGGTAAAGTTTTAGAAGAAAGAGGAGGAGGATGAGAAAGTCATTAACTGAAGAATTATAGATGATAGAGAACAACGAAATATAAAGATTTTATAAAACATTGATTGACGATAGAGAAATAAGAAAGAGAAAGTCAATTAATAATTATTTTTAATATATATTTTTATTTAAAATATATAATTAGTTTAGTTAATCTTAGCCAT